GTGTGCATATCTTCCTGTGCATTTTCATACTCATTCCATGTCATGATTCTTACGATGAGCTTGATAAGCCGAGAGTGGTGGTGGATCTTTAAAAGGGTAACAGGGGTAAGATGTATTTATTCAGAAATCAGATGATAAGAACCACTACTAGAATCTTAAGATGAAAGAAAAAAAGCAGAGAACATGTTTAGGAATCATGTTTAGGGACACATAACTTTGTGAGAATGCTGAGTTCTGAAAGAGAAGGAGGAGGAGGTATAAATGACTCAGAAGTTTAGGCAATGTAACTGAATTGTGAGTCATGAATGTTATTTATAGAGATAAAGAATAAAGGAAAAGATAATGGAAGAGATATTGCATTCAACTTCAAGCAAACTAAGAAGCAGATAGAATATGTTGAGCAGGCAGTTAGAGAACTCTCAAGAACTTGTATATAAATATTAAATTTATTAGTAAGTAAGTAAACTATTGCTTTCCTTATGGATGCACTCTGTAGAAAAAGGCAGCCTTTCTTTTTGTAAAAATATCTTCTTAACTTGAAAAAAATTATTCTGCTGTGTCTGAATATTCTTGACAGTGAAGAAACTATATCCTAGGAGTACAATACAATGCTTTTATATGCATAGACAACATATATGCACTGTGTGTATAAGCTAACCAATGCACACATCACCTCAAATAGTGATTTTTGTGAGTTTTTTTTTTTTTTTGGTAGTGAGAAAATTACTTAAGATGAATTCTCAGCAAGTTTAGAGTGTACATGGAAGTTTCTCACTACGGTCAATGTCTTCATCTATTTTGGCTGCTGTAAGAAAATACCACAGACTGGATACTTTATAAACAAAGGAAATTTATCTACCCATTTTAGGCCTAAGAAGTTTAAGATTAATGTACTGATAGACTGGTAACCTTTGCATCTGGTGATAGATTTCTGGTTCATAAACACTGCCTTTTTACTAAACAGTGGCAGAAGGGGCAAGACAAACTTTAAGGGTCCTTCTCCGAGGGTGTTCACCCCCGGGATCTCATTGTATCCCTCTATCTTCTATTACCATCAAATAGGTAATGAGATTTTCAACATAGGGATTTAGAGAAACCCAAACATTGGGGCCATAGCCATTACCATGCTCTGTATCTATACATCTGCTTCCAGAATTTATTCCTCTCACCTAACAGAACCTTTTTATCTTTTGATCATGTTTTCTTATTTTCTTTGTAGAAATATGGATGTGTGGGTGGGGTTAATTTAAATGAAATAAGCCAATCTCAAAAAATCTTACGTTGTATAATCTCATATGTGGATTAGAAAAAGTAGGGTTTTTGTTTTTAATGATATTACTATTTATAATTAATATGTATTTTTTCTGAAAATAACACAACTTTTTTCTTCAATTACCTAATACAATACATGATCTGTTTGCCATCATTTTTATTAAGGAAACAAAACTTTTAGTGTCTGACTATATGCTATGTTAAAATAAATCATTTTCATAATGTGGCTACAGTATTTTAACATATATTAATCTTTGAATGTTTTATTTTTATGGATTAAATGCTTTAGTTTTGACCAAGAAAAGACTTTTCCTTTTTTAAAAAAGGAAGCAAACATCGTCTAATATTTTCTAGGGATCACTATATCAAGTTAGAAGAAAGTCATCTTGATTTTGCAAAAACTACATTTTAGGACAACAAAAAATCACCAAGAAGTCATACCCTCTTACGCACTTAATTCTAATTTAATCTATCCTCAGCTCTAATTAAATCTATCCTTTCAACACTCCTTCAAACTCAGGGGAAATCTTTTCTTCCTCTTACTTAAATGAATTCCCTCCACTTCGAGTTGGTGTCTCCAACCTTTCTTATATCCAGGACAGTTCTTCCCTAATTAATATTTCCCTCTGTGGATTTCTTGGTTCCGCTCTTCCTAGAATTCTGTTTTCTGTTACAAACACGAGTGTGTTCCATTTGATTCCAGGTACTAAATATCACGTTCTCCTCCCATTAGCAACACTCTTGGGGGGAAAGGCCCTGTGCTCTGTGGTCCCCACCTATTCTGGATAAATTTCCTTCTAAATTCCTGTAAGCTGGTTTCTGCTTCTGGCATGTGAATGAAAATGTTCTGTAAAGGTCACAGGATGACAGTTTTATTTATCTAATGTAGTGGCTTTTTCTCAGTCATCATGCTGCTGCAGCTCTCTGGGAGACGCTGGTACCAACTGCTGACCTTCCCACATCCACCTCAGGGTGCAGGACACTTGTGGCCTGGTCTTGCTAAGGTACTGTCCTTCTCTCTAGGAGTTCTGTTATAATCCAGAAGCTGTCCTTGGGTCCCATCTCTTCTCTCCACACCCACTTTTTCCGGAGAGCTTTCTCTCCTTTGTCTCTACTCCACCCTCCCACGCTCAGGGTGACAGGTTAAGACTGAAAGCCCCCATTCCTATTCCCAAGCACCTTCCCATGCTCCTGTCAAGACCTGGGAGTTGTATCTACATACAGTGAATGTCACCGGCTCCTGTGGGACAGCTTGGCAAACATAAAACCGGTTACAGCACCATGCAGAGAGTGACTGTTTCCTGGGTATTCAGATGTTTGAAGGTGTATATGACAAAATGCCTCCAGGACTTTTTCAATAGATTTCAAGGTTGAGTGATTTTTAAAAACTTTAAAGTTTTTAAACACACTGAACCATCACTGGGGCTAGACAATTTTGAAAGTAAATGAAGTTAGTTTAATAGAAATATCCCAAGTCATTGCCTTCTCTCTAGAGCACTTTTGTATCCCTCCCATATTGATTTTTATAACATTTAGGTTATCATAGAAGGATTTGTATTTAAATCCTTGATTCCAGTTTCCTTCTGTAGGATTTTACTCTGTGCCATCCTAAGACTCACAAAGCCCTTCCTTCCTGTTCATCTCTCAGGGATCCAAAGCTCACACTGGCCTCCTAAACCCTCCTTCCTAGATTGCAGAGCCAGTCTCACGAGGCTGCTCCTCCTTTCTGTGTTTCTGCCACATTCTGCTCATTTTTGGCCCCTGTAGTCTCCCCAGGGCTTGGTCCTTTCTCATGAGCTCCCACTAATGCTGCACCCCTGACTCCTAATCAGAGTTGCAGGCATCAAAGTTGAGCCTAGGGGCAGGCATCGCAGTGTTTCAGAGAATAACCTTGCTCGGTGAGCGGATTGACCTTCACACAACAAATAAACAAACTCAAGAGCAGAAATCGGATTTCCTCATACCCACAGTAAGTGGTGAAGTGTCAAATCCACGTCTTTCTGGTTTAACATCAACACTGTTTGCATCAGATAATAATTGTCTCTCAGACTCATTTTCTTTTCAGCATTCAGTGCAAACTCATAATCTGCAAGGAGCATTTGCACGGATGGCCGCTGTCTCCATCCCAGAGCACCGGGCACTAATGCGATTGCCTCCTGTCCCTCTGTAAATAATTCATGCCATGTCCCCAGTTGTGCCTTTTAGAACAGAAGGAGTATCTCATAGCTTGTTGGTAAGTTTTGTACTATCAAGCACAATTCGGGTAGTGATTTCAACATAATATATATCTTCAATAAATGGTTGATTAGGTTTTATAAAAGTGACATTAATACTAATTTTCTTTCCTTATGGGAAGTCAAAAATAGATCACATAAAATACACATAAATATTGAATGTAACCTAACAATAGCCAATTTATAGCCAGGTGTCACTTTTTATCTTTATACCAACAGCAAAATGAATCATAAAGTGTAATATTATGCTTACAGAGAGGGAAACATAATGTGCCTTTTATCTGATCAGAGAGCTTTCACCGAAACCCACAGAAAATGTGAACAAATCTGCAATTTCCATATGCAGTTTTTCCTTTCCTGCAGATATGTGTAAAGTTCAGTGATAACTTTTCATAGAAACAATGTATCATTTGAATTCAAGCATGCATTTTTTCTGAACTGTTTAAAATTGCTAATATTTCCATTGATCTGCCAGAAAATACATGCTTTCAAATGCTATGAAGTCATTTAAAATGGTTGGTCTTTTCCCTTAAATGATGATTTAATGCCTTTTCATATGTTGGCAGTACTTCTAAGAAAAGTTATATTAATAATTCAGATTAATATTAGATATATACACCAAATATGAATTATAATAATTACTTAATTATAGGTTAAAATTTATGCAAATGAAAACATGAAAGTTTTAAAACCAAAACTAAGAATGTCTATATTTACATAGTATCTCTTTCACTATGCTCCTTTGCACAGGTAAAAATATAAAGTTTACTTTCATGCATATAAAATAGCCCAAGAGAGAGTGTAATTAATTAAATTTTTTATCTGAATTCTACTCCCACCTTTCTATACTTCTATTCTAAGACGTTTTTTCTCCAACTTCCATCAGCCCTGCATGCTCAGCTAATCTCCTTATTTCGTGTCTTGTGAAATCTATTTTTAGGAAGCCTATTTTAAAGATATTCCAGTTTTGTACTTTATAGCCAATAGAAGAATGGTCTCTCCAAAAGATATCTGCATATTTAACTAATGAGAAAGAAAAGGGTCAAACCTGTTACAATGAACTATGTGAAACTACTGTTTTTGAGATAAAAGAAAATGGTTAAAAGTAATTGCATGTTGGAACTAAGACTCAACTGATGGTGTATTTTAGACACTTGTCATGGTCTAGCTAAAGACTTTCAAAGTCACGTTGCCCCTGTAGCATTTGATAAACACTATTTAGTTTTCCACTAGATAGATAAAGAAAAGCAACTGTTAGTGATTCTAGTAGGCTGGTGAATTTATCCCAAATAGGCTTCCAGAAAGCATGGAATCTATGTTAATTGTTGCATGTATTTCATTCATTGCTCATCACCTTAAAGTATATAAGGAAAGTGCCTTAATACTTTCAATACTTTGTATGCCTTAAGACTTTGCCCTGCCCTGGCTGTACCAAAAGCCTTGTTCAGAAAATAAAGCACTAATTTAAATGTAAGTGTTGCCAACTGTACTCACCTGCTTTGGGGAGCTTTTCATCTTTTTTAGTTTCAGGTGCTATAAAAGAGCACACACATACACACATGCAACAAAAATAGTCATTTAAAAAATAATCAGTACTGATTTAATTAACGGCAAGATTTTATTAATTTTTACTGTATAATGTTGTTTTCAATTATAGTAGCACCTGTCTATCAATAAGGGCACGTGTATTTTTGATAAATTATAAAGTAACTTTACAAAATTACTTTGATTTTTTTAAAGTCCAATTTGTTACAATGTTTCATACTAATCAAGTAATTTGACGTCTTGTCTTTAATAAAAACCAATCTCTTCTGAGTCATAAGAGTTTTATAGTGAACTGTAAGTAATGGAAAAAACAATTGATAAAAATTGTTCAGAAAAAAATACCATGAGTTTTCCGCAATCAATTTATACATTTTCTATTTTTGACTACTATCCATTCAATTCACAGAGCTCCACCTGGTGGTTAACTGAACAATATCAAAATGATACAGTTACTGCTTTCCTAGTGCTTTTATTATTACTAATTTTTGGAAAATAATTGCCCTGATATAAGCACATTGGAATAAAGTGTTTTGTCCTCTTATTGCTACAGAATAACTAATTTTGTCTACAAGTTTTATATTCTAATTTAATATCATACTGAAAATGTTTTCACTAACACATATTGTTTAAGCTGTGCAATTAATATGCACATTACCATCTTAGCTACTATATATTATTCCATATTCAAGTTTCCCAATTTTATTGACTTTAACTGGCTCTGCCTTTGTTTTATGGTTCTCCCTTTTGGCACTGAGCTTTCTGCTCAGGAACACGGGATTCTGATACATTATAGGCACCCACCTTGCAAACAACAGGAAACGACCTCACAATTGTAAACAGTCAGCACAGACTACATGTCAGGCACAGTTGTCAATTTTTGTCAAGTTTTACCCGAATAGTTCTCATTTTATGCAGATAGAATATAAAAAGAAACATCTGCTTAACTGCAAAATTGTATACAGTTGACAGGTGTGCAGTCATTTCCATCCTGCTCCCCTTAATGCCAGAACACGTGTCTTGTAAAAAGAGGCACCAGTGGTAGGATGGCAGTTTGTTCCGTTGGCATATATTCCTGAGTTGATGGGTTCACTTAATTGCACCAGACAAGATGATGGAAGGTTTTATGTGCCTTATAAGTATATAAAATGTAATCTTGATATACTTGTTTGTTGTCTGTGCTCCCTATTTAGATTTTAAAGCAAGAAGCATAACTGGTTTACTACTCTAAACCGATGTCTTCTCAGTGTCTACCACCCGATATGAGATCAATAAATAGTACGGAATGAACAGTGAAGAAAGGCAACCAAAGACTAGATTCCGTCTTGTATTTCTATGGTCCTGGAATAAATAGATTCATCTCATGCTTCTAGAACCAGAGATAATTATTCAAGGTCACATAGCTTTTTATGTTTAGATTTTATTTTCAAAACTTTTCTTCAATTAAGTGCTTTATCTTTCTGTGCCCAAATATAGCAGATACCACCTCCATTAATTCAGTGACTTTTCCAATTATTGAGTTTCCTGCTGCTATATTATTTTTCTCAGCCAATTTAGGATAAAGCTAAGTCATATAATTCCTCCATCAGCAATAACACAAGTATTTCTTTAATGGTGAGTGTTGACGAGATTTTTGTTTCATTGAAAATGAAGCCATTTCTCCTCTTCCTAATTATTCCTCTTTATTGAATCATGCTAATGCAGTGTACTTTGAACTTTCCAGCAAACTCTCCAAATTTCAGTAATGAGAATTAACGTTTTCGAAGTATTTATTATGTCCTGAACGCTGGTTCACAGTGAATTTTCATGGTTTCATTGTTCAGTGAAGTTCTACTTCTGACCCCTTTGCTGAGTCTGCGGTTGGCCTTGCCGACGCAGAGTCATTTGAGGAAACTCATCGAGCTGCCCAGGGTCAGCCACAGGGCTCTCTTTTCCCAGCTTATTCCCTTCACCAGCAGGCACATGCCAAGGGCCAGAAAAGACAACCCTGGGCTCCTTCCTAGTTTCCATTTCCGAATTTATCTAACTTAAATATTTTACCTTCTCAGAAACAAATTCCTGCTGGTGTAAGTCCACGCTACCTTCTTCCTAGAATGAGTTTCACCTGCATTTTGCTCCTTACAATTAGACGTCCAGGCGGGGCTCAGACGTGCGATCCTCCTCCCTCACCATCCCAGGGTGCTGACACCAGGGATTTGCGTGCCCAGCCCAGCCTGAGTTGTCTCTCTGAAACTCTTGTGTCTTCCTTTCCACTCTGCCCTTGGCTCTGATGCTTGTCAGCCACATTGTCGCTGACACCTGAAATGGAATATTCTTAGCCTTCCTGTTGGTCAGGAGATATTTTGGGAAATAAAGTGGAGACTGTCATGAGCATGAGTACAATGATGCTTAATGCTTAATACTGTGCAAACAACACCACTGATGTAACATCGAGGTAAGTCATACATTCTCTGGGCGTGTGAAAGTGAGCTTTGGTGTTGTGTGATCTCACATAAACATCAAGCTCCATGACTCAGTTTTGTGACTTTAGCATTTACAATTTCAGGTTTCCATTTCGTTGTCACAAACGTGGAGGAAGTAATGTTGCAAAGTTCACGTGAGAGTTATAAGTGAAAGACCTAGCTATTGTAAAAATTGTGCCCATAACTTTAAACCGTGTGATCTTTCAAGGTAATTTTCCTTTTTATTACAGAATTTTTTTTTTAACTTTGCAAGTGAAAATGCTGCTGGCCTTCAAAGAAGTCCTCTACGGACTTCCCAAGGTGAGCAGCTGTCTCATTAGGCCAGCTGGTCAGTAAGGGCTCAGTGGTTTTCTTGTGTGGCTGGCGTTTCTGTTGATGATTAAGTTTTTAATTTCACATCATGTAAGGATACAGTTCTGATCTCAGATGTGCTTCAAGTCATGTGTTCGAAAACTAGCCACAATAACATACTCATTTCAAAAACTTCACTCAACTAAGCCCCAACAATTAACGCCGGAAGTTGGCGTGTGGAGAGCAGAAAGCACAGCGGGAACATTTGCTTTTCACTCTGTCCCGATTGATCAGTTTTTGGTCCATGACGCCTGTTGTGTAATAACGCAGTGTCCAGTTTTTGCAAACCTTCCCACCAGCAGCGTTCACACCGGGGCTCCACAAGCAACAGTCTGCGTTTCCACTTCAGAAGCGTGGTATCAGCAGCTCCAGAGCTGAGGCTCTGAGGGGAGCACTGCCGCTGTCCACGCAGCACGGACAGGCTGCCTGCGGATTCCAGCTGGGGGCTGGAGAGGCCGCTGTGGGCCTGGGAGGGCAGCCTCAGCAACACCTCGCACAGGGTCACCAGTGCTGTGTTCTCAAGGGGAACGGGTGACTGAGACCTCAGCACCCAACTAGGAGGTGGGAGTAGAGGAGCCGTTCAGTCTCTGCACTTCCTCCATGAAGCAAAAGGCAAGAGATTTATCCCACATGGAAACTCCGGGAGCCTGCGGTCCTTTCCAAAGACCTCTATTTTAAGAACTTTGCTCTGTAGAAATTGAGTATCTGTCACTGTGTTTCCTGCTTTCTTTTGTGTGCGTGACTTTGGCTTCTTCAGCACATAGAAGACAACGTGTAATAAAATACAGCAATAGTGATAAATTTTGCAACCAGTGATATTTTGCATTTGTCACATGGTAGAGTCTGAATTTAGAGTACTAAGTATATCGTGTGTATATCATTTATATAAGGTTAAATGCTCTCTGGCTTATTAGGTCTCCAACTCCAACATCATAAATGTCACAAGCCTCACGAGGGATTGCTTCCTCTGCTCCCTGAGAGCACTTATAATATGTGTCTGCTAAAGAAGAGGAAAATTTGTGTAATTCTCAGGTATCACAGCTTTGAGATCAATAGTATCACTGAGACCATTTCACAGGAGATAATCATGAGACGTAATAGCCTAGGTCTGTACTCTCTAGTAAGCATCTAAACTGATAGTTCCGTCCTGATTTTTTTCTAATTTCAAAGTTTTAATGATCCTAAAATACACTGCTATAACGACTGTTGCTAAAGATAAAATTACGTCTGCTAAGCATTTCATACTTAAACAGTGAACAGCAAGCCACATTCTCTATCATGTAGCATATACTCTGGCATATATTATCAGACAAACTACCAGCAGCTATTAAAATCATAATTAGCATTTAAATATGACCATGAGGTTTGTATTTTTTTGAGCCAGTGGTTAAAACACAGGTTATTATAATTAGTTTCCTAAATTGAGCTAGTAAAGCTAAGAAAATAAGCTGAGCATTGACAGAGAATAGATAACTACCTCACACACTCCTCAGTCAGTATTTGACACATAATAACATGGGAAGATTTTTCTATTACAAGAAAGGCCTTGAAACCTGTCAAAATGTGGAATGTACAATCATGCGTCAGCAGCGTTAGTTCTTGTCAAACCGCTGAAGTCTGGACAGAGGACACAGGTCCAGCAGCGCAGTGCCCAATGTGTCCCTGTTCCAGCATAGGCTTCTGGGTGACTTGGGTGAGTCACTGTTGGAGATTTTGGTATGGTTGGTATCAGGACGCCTTTGCTCTTAGGACATTTGGAAGGTGACCGGGTTTTGGGAGTTTGGAGCTGACTTACTGTAAGAGCTGGGATCTGGCTGGGAGAGGCAGGTCACAGGAGATGTGCACTGGAAAGTCACCTCCCTCAGGGTCCTGCTTCTCCCTCTACTTCCAGCCACCCTGACCTGACCAGCTCTCCTGGCCCATGCCCTTCTGCCCTGCTCTATCTTCTTGGGCACTGCTGACTGAGGACCAGACATGAGCCAAGAAAACCTGTCCACCCTTAAGTTGTGAGTGTCAGGCACTGCTTCTCAGGGAGGAAAAGGTGACCAACACAGTTCTGTTTCACATTATGCAAACAGGACTGCTAAAATAATCAAACCGAACACTACCTGAGAAGCATCTCGGGCAGTGCCAGCTACAAAACAAACAATGAATGCCAGTCTGTTTATTGATATTCCA